ACACCTTCGTAGGCTGTCAGCTCATGGGGCACACACATATGCCTTACCAGGGAGTCGTCATTGCTAGGTGTCACTTTAGGAGGAAAATAACAGTTATCAGAAATCACACCTACTAGATACTCTTAAGAAGAGCTCTATTGTTGGAATCCAAAACTAAGTGGTTTCTGGTAGCAATGTGTCATTCTGATAGAAAAAAATGAAGTGATTGTATTAAAAACTTTTAAAAAATAACCAATAGTTGATTCAGGGCTAATTTGTTTCTTGATTCAGTGCCATCGAAGATCATTTGAGAAAGGATCTATCCCAAGGTGCTGTAGGAAGATGATTGCCAATGAGTCCTCCATCATCACCCGGCTGTTTGAAGGGCAGCTCAACTATAGCATCATGTGTTTGAAGTGTGAGAACTGCACCTACAAGAATGAAGTCTTCACCGCCCTCTCCCTCCCCATTCCATCCGAGTATGAGTGCTCTCTTCAGGTAGGGGTGGTTCCTCCTGGATCCCACTTCTCAGGGCTTTTACCTACAATTTTCTGTTATGATGGGGGTTGCTTTGTAACTTAAACCAAATTGGAAGCCCATGATAACAACATTTGATAGGAAAGAGATGTACAGCCAAAAGTTACTGTGAATTCATTGTATTTCCAAATGTACTCCATAAAACAGCCTCATTGTAAAATTGAAGTGACAGGTGGGGCTTATTCAGCCTGCTAAAATGGCTTGGTGCATGTAGGGAATTCATACGTTTTTGCAAAACTTTTATGACCCTTTCTCACCCCCAAGGTCTGCAGATGCAGACTGGTAACTAGATATAGAAGATTCTGACTTTTAGTTTTGAGTTCTTGTGTTTAGATGGAAGCTGTGTGGAATATGTTGGAAAGATAGAATGGAATCTACTGCCTTAGTTTACCTCTTGAATTTTCTTCACCTTAATACCAAACACTAATTAATCTGTAAATGGTCGGGGGTGGGGGGGGGTTGGGGAGGGATGATGGTAGAAGGCAGGGGACAGCTAGAAGGCAAGGAGGAATAAATTCCCTTGCAGAATAATACATATTTACATTTTTTCTACCAAAATTATAGCCGCTTAACCTCAAACACATTCTTTAGGCCTCTTTAGCCTAATGGTTTGCAGGGCCAGGGTGCTGGCTCCATTGAGGATGGCCCCGGTGGGCATGGGATCTAATTCTGAGTGTTCTGTGGTCTTTATTATCCACAACACTGGACATGGTAAATTTTCAGTCTCCATATCACTTTGTGATGAGATGAATCCCATAAAACAGCTGCCCGACTTGCTTAGTGGAAATTGCATAGTAAATATTATTCTGATAGAAATTAGAAAGGTTAAAATGCGGATCCAGAGATGAGAAGTGAGATGGGCACTTGGATCCATTTCAGTAACTAAGTGAGAAAGAAGCATGTCCTTTTTGGGTAGATTTCGCACCTTTCCAGGCAGCAGCTGGAGACACTAGTACCTCACGGATATGTTGACTTTGAGCAGAGCAATGAGGGTTACATTTCCACAACTCTTGCAAAGTCCTGTTTTAAATAGAGAGCCCAGGCTGTGGCCCATCCAGTTTGGTTACCCCATGATTTTTTTCCTCAACAGGACTGTCTCCAGTGTTTTTTTCAACAAGACACACTGACCTGGAATAACCAAATCCACTGTTCCTTCTGCGAAACCAAGCAAGAAACAGCTGTAAGGGCCATTATTTCCAAAGCACCAAAAATAATTATCTTTCACTTAAAAAGGTAGGGATTTTGACATTTTGTGAGATTTTTTTTTTCTGAATGGCTTTATCGAGACAATTCACATACCATGCAATACACCCATTTAAGGTATACAATTCGGTGCTATTCTTTGTATTACATTAATTTTTAAAAATTTGTGATAAAATAAGTGTAACATAAAACCTGCCATTTTAACCTTTTTTATTGACCTCTAACATAACAGCATTACATTAGTTTTAGGTGTATCATATAGTGATTCAGCAATTCTTTTATGTTGGTCTGTGCTCATCACAATAAGTGTATTCCTGATGCCCTTCCCCCATCACACCCATCCCACTAACTTCCCCTCGGGTAACAGTTTGTTCTCTGTATTTGAGTCTGGTTTTTGTCTCTTATTTTTTCTTTGTTGGCTTTGTTAAATTCTACATGGGAAGAAATCATATGGTATTTGTCTTTCTCTGACTTACTTCACTTAACATTATACCCTCTAGAGCCATTCATGTTGTTGCAAACGGCAAGATTTTCTTCCTTTTTATGGTTGAGTAATAATCCTTGTAGATACATACAACTTCTTTATCCATTCATCTGTTGATGGGTAATTGGATTGCTTCCATATCTTAGCTATTACAAGTAATGCTGCAATAAACGTAGGGGTGTGTGTCTTTTTCAAATGAGTGTTTTTGTATTCTTTGGGTAAATACCCAAGAGTGGAATTACTGACCAAATGGTAATTCTATTACTGATTTTTCTGAGGAAACTCCATACTGTTTTCCATAGTGGCTGTGCCAGTTTGCCTTCTGACCAACACTGCATGAAGGTTCCTTCCTATCCACATCTTTGCCAACACTTATTGGCAAAAAAAAATCCCTACCTTTCTTATCTTTTTGATTTCAGTCATTCTGACAGGTGTGAGGTGATATCTCCTTGTGGTTTTGATTTTGCATTTCCCTGATGACAAGTGATAATGAGTATCTTTTCAGGTGTCTGTTGGCCATCTGTATAACTTCTTTGGAGAGATGTCTATTCAGGTCCTCTGCCCATTTAAAAAATTGGATTATTTGTGTTTGTTTGTTTTGTCTTTAAGTAAATTCTACCCCTAGTATGGGGCTTGAGCTCATGACGCTGAGATCAAGAGTCACATGTTCTACTGACTTAGCCAGTCAGGACCCCAAGGTTATTTGTTTTTTGGTGTTAAGTTGTAAGTTCTTTATATTTTTTGGATACTGAGCGCTTATTGGACATATCATTTACAAATATCTTCTCCCATTCAGTAGGCTGGCTTTTTGTTTTGTTTCCAAAGCCAAATATTATGGGACTATTCTTTCCAATGCAGGTCTGTGTCCAGGGTGCCTGCTGTGGGGTCAGCTCCTCTGCCTTCATGCATGTGGTGTCCCTCCCCTGTGTGGTTAGTTTCCTGAAAAGTTTGGTTCCTCACTGGGACTCTGCCTCTATTCCCCTTTTACATGTGGCCTCTTCTCTATGATTAACTGAGGAAAGTCTATAAGGCCAGGCTTTGGGTCATTTTGTGAGTTAGTTGCTCCGATATGGCTGTTATCTAGGTGTGTCCGGGAAACAAAGTGAGCTTTGGATCCTCCCTTTCCGCTATTTTCCTAGCACTCTTGTCATTTTAATGAATGTAGTGATCACGTTACAGTTTTGTAGTTAGAAGGCTAACTTGGGTCTGACAAGGCTAAAATCAGAGTGTCTGTAGGGCTGCATTCCCTTCTGGGAGGTTTCAGAGAAGAATCTGGTGCCTTCTCCCTCCAGCTGATTGAAGTGAGAGTCAAGCTAAACTTTTTTTTTTTTTTTTTAAGCAAGTCCAGCCCAGGTGATGTTCTCTGCTTGTTACCACATTATATCAGGAGGCACATGGTGAAAGTTTGCCCCACTATTGGTGAGATGTTGTTTGATCTGTAGATAAGGTAGTGACTGTAAGATCCTACCATTTAAAGGTATAGTTTCCCTCTGTAATTAGCATACCTCTGGACTCATGGATATCTTTAAACTCCATGTGCTTAATATCATTACTATCGTCATTCTTCTTGGTGTTTAAGTTCAAAATTGGCCATTGGGAGCCCCTTCAAGCCTGTTGCTCTGAGCCCATTTAGGCTTATTAAAGTATAATTGCAAGTATAAAATGTATCCTTCTTAGGTGTACAGTTCTATGAATCTTGACAAATGCACACAGTCACTAACCATGACAGCCAACATAGAGACTACATCTATCACCCCAAAATATTTTCTCATAATCCACCCCTTCTCCCACCCTCAGCCCCTGGAATTGTCTGATCAGATTTCCATCTTTATAGTTTGGCCTTTTTCAGAATGTCCTATGTTATACCATGTGTGGTGTTTTTGTTTTTGAGTTTGGCTTCTTTGGCTTAGCATAATGTTTCTGAGATTAATTCATGGCATGGCATGAGTTAGTGGTTCCTTCCTTTTTATTACTGTGTAGTACTCCCTGTCATGAATGTACCACAATTATTTATCCATTCATTAGTCAATGAACATTTGTGTTGATACCAGTTTGTGGCAGATATGAATGTAGCTGCTGTAAACATTAGCATATAGGTTTTTATATGCATAAATCTTCATTTCTTTTGGTATGGTATGTAAGCATGGGACTGCTGGGTCAGATGGTATCCCCTTAGATTTTACAAACAAGGTTTCTTGCTTTTTGGCACGAGAATATCTCTGGGTCATGCAGGAATTGTCCTGCCCCAGACTTAAATCGGCCATTTTTCCAAAATAAACATAATTTTTGAAAACACTCCAGAGTGATTCTGATAGGAGTTCAGATTTGGGAACTGCTGATCTATATAACAAATAGAGAATGTGACAAGATTTTCAGAAAATTTTATCTTATTAAGGATATATTAAAGCCTCAGAGGGGCGCCTGGGTGGCTCACTTGGTTAAGTGTCCAACATCAGCTCAGGTCATGATCTCACTGCTTGTGAGTTCAAGCCCCACGTGCTGACAGCTCAGAGCCTGGAGCCCACTTCTGATTCTGTGTGTGTGTCTCTCTCTCTGCCCCTCTCCTGCTCACATCCTGTCTCTCTCTAAAACATTAAAAAAAAGAAAACCACCACCCTCAGAGCTGGAGGGGTACCTGGGACACTCCGTCATTTAAGTGTCTGACTTCAGCTCAAGTCATGATCTCATGGTCATGGGTTCAAGCCCCAGGTTGGGCTGTGTGCTGACAACTTGGAGCATGGAGCCGGCTTCGGATTTGTAAGGTTTTTGAGTGAAAAAAGACTCCAAGGCAAAAGGCTCCACAGAAGGAGTTTTACTGTATGCACCCTTGGGCGAGGTTCCGTGACTCAAGAAAGGGAGTCAGGGAAGTTGCGCCCTGGTTGGGTGGTGGTGGGGTTTTATGGACTGTTAGTGGGGGTTCAGATAACAGGGGCAGTCTCTTGACTGCAAAGTCCAGGATTGGAAGGTTTAAATTTCTGTTTCCTGCCAGTGTAGTAACAGTCATCGATGTAGTGGTGGGAAGGTCAGCCATCTTAAGAAGGTCTGCCATTCTGTGGCGTCTCTGCCCCACCTCTCAGCCGGCCCAACATTCCGACCTTTTGTTTTAAATATAGATGGAAGGGGCGTCGATTCAGTTCCGGCTACTTCCTGCTGACGGGTGGGCGTCGTTATAGGGGTAGTCGGAGGTGGGCAGGCGAGAGTAGGGCTGCAGGAGGAGTTGATTTACTGAGACTCGGGACATTTCCTGGAGCCGCTCCCACAGATACCTAATAAGACAGGGGGCAACCGAGATTGATAGCAGGATTAAGCATAGGGGTCCCGCCAGGGGCAGGAGCCAGGTTACCCAGGCATGGGGGTCTAGACCCCATATGTGGGAGTCCTGGCGCCTCGCCTGGATTCGGTCCCTGAGTTCACGAACTTTGGATGTGACTATGCCTGATTGGTTAACGTAGTAGCAACACTCCTCCTTCAGATAGAGGCAGGTTCCCCCTTTTTCAGCCGTCAGGAGGTCTAAAGCCCGTCTGTTTTGTAGGGCTACGGCTGCAAGACTAGTAATCTGGGTCTGTAGAGCAGTGAGGGAATCGGCGATTCGTTCCATGTCCTCATTGAGGGCCTGGGAGAGTTTGTAATAAAAATTTATGGAAGTTCCGAGGCCTGCCACCCCGGTGGCGATGCCAGTGGCTAGGCCTGCCCCAATGAGAAGGGGAACGAAAACCGCTCGTTTGGCTCGGTGTGTTGGGAATAAGAGAGACAGGAGCTGAGTATGTGAATAGATGTTGGTTGAAGGGGATAGGAGAATAAAGATGCAGTTTAGGGAATCACTGGCAGTTAGGCAGCGGTAGATCCCCTCCGGACATGAGAGAAATATTCCAGGAGGGGTACAGTAGGGGAGGGAGGAGCTGGCAGATGAGGCGTTGAAGGTGAGAATGTCCTGGGTTGAGGAGAGGTTATAGATAGGTATTGGTTTTCCCAGGGCCCCCGTGTGGACCGTTTGGTTAGTAGTAGTGATATTGGGGAGGCGCCACGTTGTTGGGATGGGGATTCCGATGATATTGGTAATGGTAGAGAAAGGGAAACAGACCCAACAGTCGCGGTCGCCAGTCAGGTTCTGCCAGAGGTTGTAACTAGAGTTTATTAGAGTATTAGTCAGTTGGTCAGTGGGGAGAAAATTTTGTAGGGTATCGAGGTTGAGTCCCCTGTAAGTAGGGGTGATCTGGGCCTGTCGTTGGGTATGTAGGTTTTGGAGCATTTGTTTGGTCTGATTGTGTTTAGCTTGGTCTTGGACTCCTCCCCCGTCAGAGAGTCCTATTTGGGCTAGGTAAGTCCAGCAGACGGTTCCTGTCTTGGGGTATTGGTTGCAGGGAGATTTTGTTGTCCTCTGGGCATTAAGTTCAGAGGCCCAAAAGGTTTTTCCTGGGGCATGAGTGGAGGTACAAGTGATTGGGGTTTTTCCTTCGTAGCATATTTTGGGCATATAGGTATAGGATTGGAAATACCTTCTTTGTCCACTGCCATGCATACACCGGTTACATTCAGTTGCCCAGACCAGGGGGTGTAGAAGAACCAGGATTAGGAGTACGTACCAGCCGAAGTTGGGTTGGGCCCACCATCTGCGAGGTCCAATCATCTGATTTTGGTGCCCGCTTAAGGTTATTGATGTGTACCCAGGGCTGATGCCCCAGCAATTTTGCTGCAGTTGAGGTGGTGAGGATGACGGTGTGGGATCCAGACCACCGTGGCTGGAGGGAACCTGGTTGTAAGTCCCTAAGGAGGACCTGGTCTCCAGGGAGTAAGGTTTGGGTGGTGGCCTCCCCTTCACCATGGGTGTCTGGGGCTGGTATGACTGCGTCAGCATGGGCTTGTAAAAGGGCCCGGAGGAGGGTCAGGTAGGCCAGGTATGAAAGGAGGGGTGGAGGGGAGGCCGGGAGGTTGTGAGTTAGGAGAAATGGCTGCCCATATAGAAGTTCGAAAGGACTTAATCCCGAGGGCCCGCGGGGAGTCGCCCTGAGTCGATTGAGGGCAAGGGGTAGTAAATTGGGCCACGAGAGGTGAGTTTCTAAAGTTTAGTGAGTTGGGCCCTCAGCAGTCCGTTTGCCTTTTCTACCTTACCCGATGACTGGCGATGGTAAGGGATGTCGAGTTTCCAGGTGATGTTAAGGGTTTCTGCCACCTGGTGAGTGATGCTGGAAACGAAGGAAGGTCTGTTGTCCGACTGCAGAGTTCGGAGCAGTCCAAATCATGGAATGATGTGTTCGATGAGGATAGTGGCCACTACATCTGCTGTCTCCCGGGCCGTGGGAAATGCTTCAATCCAGCCTGTAAATGTGTCTACCATAGTTAGTAGGTACTGAAAGGATTTGTGGCTGGGCACGTGGGTAAAGTCTAGCTGCCAATCCTCTCTGGATTGGTGTCCACGGAGTTGGTGGTTGGGTCCTGGCCTACGTATCCCACCTTGTGTGTTGACAGTTGCACAGGTTTTGCAGGATCTGTGTACTGTCTCTATAACCTTAGAGAGGGGTGATGAAAGAGGGGTTGAAGGAACTGGAAGAGAGCCTTTGGGCCAATGTGGAGGGACTGGTGAATTTCAGCTATTAGTGTGCAGGCCAGATTGCCCAGAAGGGCGATTTTGTCCTGAACATAGATCCATCCTTTGTCTCCTGTTTTTCCTCCCAAGCTCTGGAGGGTTTGTACTTCTTGTTTAGACTATGAGGGGCTGTGAGGGGTATTGAGGAAAAGAATCGGGGCCAGGCAAGTGTTTAAGGCCATTTGTCTGGCCATTGAGTCGGCCTTGTTGTTTCCCAAAGAGACAGGATCTTTGGAGGTCTGATCTCTGTGGCAGTGCACTATTGCTACCTCAGCAGGGAGTCTGAGGGCCTCGAGTAGTTTGGCGATAAGTGGCCTATTGACTATGGGAGTTCCTTTAGTGGTTAGGAATCCCCGTTCCTGCCAAAGGATGGAGTGGGTGTGAGTGATGAGATAGGCGTACTCAGAGTCTGTGTATATTGTAACCCGTTGCCCCTTTGATAAGTGGAGGGCTCGGGTAAGGGCTATTAGTTCGGCCTTTTGAGAAGTGGTTCCAATAGGGAGAGGGGCCGCCTCTATTACTGAGTCTGAAGTGACCACGGCGTAAGCGGCGCGCCTTTGGCCGTCTGGGGTTAGGAGGGAGCTCCCATCTACAAAGAGGATTTGGTCAGGCTTGGATAATGGCTGGTCAGATAGTCCTGGGAGGGAGGGGGTTAGTTCCTCCAGAAGCTGCAGGCAGGAATGGGAGGGCTCAGGGCTGGACGAGGGCACAGGCAGCAGAGTGGCGGGGTTTAGGCGAGGAGAGGTAGAGAGGGAGACCAGGGGATTCTCGATGAACAGCAGATGGTATAGCTGGAGACACGAAGGGGTGAGTTGAGCCAGAGATCAGTCACTGACCAGATCTGCGAGCCCATGGGGAGAGTAGACTGTGAGAGTTTCCTAAGATGAGTTAAGGGCCTCCTTGGTAAAAGTGGCGGCCGCTGCCAGTGCCCTGAGGCAAGGCTGCCAGCCTTGGGCAGCGGTGTCTAGTTGTTTGGATAGGTAGGCTATTGCTCTATGGGCGGGCCCCACCGATTGGGTTAGGAGGCCAGTAGCTGAACCAGAGTGTTCACCAGTAAAGAGGTGAAAGGGTTTAGAGGGGTCCAGCAATGCCAGAACTGGTCCAGTAGTGAGGCAGTTCCGTAGTTTAGAGAACAGATGTCGGACGGAGGTGGGGTCGGTTAAGGGTCCTTGGGGTGTCTCCTTTGCCGCCCGATATAGGGACCGGGCCAGAATGGCAAAATTGGGGATCCAGTGTCTGAAGAAGCCCACTAATCCCAAGAAGGAGAGAATTTCCTCTGCGTTCTGAGGGGGCTGAAGTTCCTGGAGGAGGCGGATGCGGTCCCCGGTGAGGGATTTGGATGTAGGGGTCAAGGAAATTCCTAAATAGGTGACTGAGGGGGTACACAGTTGTGCTTTGGAGGGTGTAACTCGATACCCTTTGGCTCCTAAAAAGTTGAGTAAGGTGGTTGTGTCCTCTTGAGATAGAGAAGGGGATGGGCTACAGAGGAGGAGATCATCTACATATTGGAGGACGGTGCTGGCCTTAAGGATGCACTGCTGTAAGTCGGTAGCCAGGGCCTGGCCAAAGATATGGGGGCTATCCCGGAACCCCTGAGGAAGGACGGTCCATGTCAGTTGTCCTGAGACATTGGTATCGGGGTCCTCCCAGGTGAAGGCAAAGAGGTAGTAGGAGTCGGGATGTAAAGGGATGGTAAAAAAGGCGTCCTTTAAATCCAGCACCGTGAAGTGGGAGGTTCGGGGTGGGACGTGGGATAGTAGGGTATAAGGCTTAGGGACGGCGGGGTGGAGTGGGACTACAGCTTCGTTAATGAGCCGCAGGTCCTGGACTAATCGGTAGGCCCCTGACGGCTTGCGGACAGGCAAGATAGGCGTGTTGTAGGGGGAGCTGATGGGGATGAGGAGACCCTGCTGTTTTAGGCGGTCTATGATAGGCTTAAGGCCCCTCCGATGGGTTAAGGAAATAGGAAAACGTGCCCGGGAGGGGAACTGTGATCTGTCCCTTAACTGTATCTTTACAGGAGAATGGTGAGACACAACGACTGGTTTAGAGGTGTCCCACACTCTTGGGTCCGCTGCAGGGAGGCATTTTGGGGACGGGAGGGATGGGGTGGAGAGTAGGGGTAGGATGAGGCATTCCGAAATGGAGGGAGAGGGCGAAAGCTGGATGGTAGCCTGTAGTTTGTGGAGGATGTCCCTTCCCAGTAGGGGCACGGGACAAGAGGGGATCACTAAGAAGGAGTGTGAGAAGGGAAACCCATCCAGGCTGCAGGTGAGGGGAGGGGCCACCCTAGGTGAGGAGGAGGTCCCATCGAGTCCCATAACGGTGACCGGTGAGGATTGGGTTAGTCCTGAGTAGGAAGGCAAAACTGAATAGGTAGCCCCCGTGTCCAGCAGAAAGGAGATGGACTTACCCGCTACCTGGAGCATGACCCTGGGCTCGGCCTGGGTGAGAGGGGTGTCCGAGTCTGGGCCCCGTCAGCCCTCCTCTAATCCAAGTAGCTGGAGAGCAGGACTTACTGTCTCGGTGTTTCCCCCACGTGGAGGCGCTGAGGATCCCCCGAGGCTTGGGAAGGCGGATTTCCAGTGTCCGTCAGTCGGCACTGGGGACAGGGTCGGGTGGGCTCTTTTGGATTGGGACATTGACGGGACCAGTGTCCCTCAGCTCCGCATTTGAAACAGGCCCCCGGAGGGGTGTGGTTGGTTCCCCTTTTATGTTGGCTCCGGGAGCCGGCCGGCCGCAGGGCTGCCACCAGAGCAGTTTATAGCGGGACCTTTTGCTGGAGTCTGGCCTGTCGTTTCAGCTCAGCTGCCTCCTCCCGGAAGTTAAAAACTTTAAAGGCCATTTTCACTAGGTCGGCGATGGGAGTCTGTGGTCCCTCCTCCGCTTTTTTTAGTTTTTTTCGAATGTCTGGCGCCGACTGGGAGATAAAGTGGGTAGCCAGGACAGTCGCCCCGGCCAGCGAGGCCGGATTGAGGCGAGTATATAGAGCTAGAGCCTTGGTTAATCGGTTGAGAAACAGCCGGGTTTTCGTCAGGGGCCTGCATGATTTCTCTGATTTTATCATAATTGACTGCCTTGTTAGAGGCTGCGCGCATACCGGCAATGAGGCATTGAGCCATGCGGCCGCGTCGCCGGCGGCCATCTTGCCCGTTCTGGTAGTTCCATCCGGGTTCTATGGCTGGGGCCGCCTGAGCGCCAACAGGCAGGGTGGCGTCGGTGAGATGGACCTGGTCAGCGTTCCCTCTCCTCAGTAGTGAGAGTGGTGGTCTGGACGACATGGAGGTCGTGCCAGGTTAGGTCATAGACCTGGGCCAGGTATGGAAACTCTTTGATGAAGTTATCTGGGTTGGCGGAAAAGGAACCCAGGCGCTTCTGTATTTGGGAAAGGTCTTGGAGGGAGAAGGGCGCGTGGACCCGAACAACACCCTCGGCCCCCGCGACCTCTCGCAGCGGGCAGACCAGGTCTGGAGAGGGGTCGTGGGACCGGGTGCAGGCGGAGATAGGAGGGGATGAGTGGGGGACCCCCTGGGGGGCAGGTTCTACCGCGATCTGCGGCTGATGAGCTCCAGGAGCCATGGGGGTAGGTAGGGCCGAGGTTGGAGTCGGGTCAGAGGGTTGTTGAGCGAGAGGTACGGGAGGCTGGGGGATGGGAGCGCGGTACGGCGGAGGCGGGAGCAAAAGAGGGGCCCTCACAGGAGGGCCAGACAAGTTTTTGGGAGGTTCGGAAAGGGGGAAGAGTATAGAGGGTTCTGGATCTTTAAGGGAGTGTAGGTGAGAGGGCCGGAGGGGGGCGGGGGTGCGAGCCAGAAGAACCTGAGACGTAGAGCAGCGGGAGCAGAGTGAAGGACGAGAGCGCAGGGTCCAAAAGGCTTGGACGTAAGGAACCTCAGACCATTTGCCTTGGCGTCTACAGAGATTATCAAGGTCCGTGAGAATTTGGTAGTCAGAAGTGCCTCCAGGAGGCCGTTGTGACTGGTTGTCCAATTGATACTGAGGCCAGGCAACAGTACAGTAATGTATAAGGCGCCGCCTGCGCAGGTCCTGGTCCAACTCTAAGGTTTTGAGATTGGCCAGAAGACAACCCAAGGGCGTTTTTGGATCAATTTGGGACTGGGAAGTTCCCATAGCCGCCCCACCCACCAGTTCAGATCACGGCAGAAAGCGTCCTCTCATCCGTGTGCTGGACTGCAGATCAGAGAAGAGACGGGTAGCTGCCGCAGAAAGGGGCCGTCTCCCGATTCTTTGGAGCTTCGGAGGCTACCTGGTAGCCGGAGGGAGGTTGCCCTGACGCGGCCGCGGTTAGGACAGGGCACCCCGGGCGGAGAGGGCTGGGGGCTAGGGACACTCACCGCAGTCTTGAGAATAGCGCTTGGAGAGGCAGTCCCCGGTCCGGATATGGAGAGGAGAGAGCTTCCTCACCGAAGTGGGAGCTCAGTCTCCTCCCGGGTTTCGGCACCAAATGTAAGGTTTTTGAGTGAAAAAAGACTCCAAGGCAAAAGGCTCCGCAGAAGGAGTTTTACTGTATGCACCCTCGGGCGAGGTTCCGTGACTCAAGAAAGGGAGTCAGGAAAGTTGCGCCCTGGTTGGGTGGTGGTGGGGTTTTATGGACTGTTAGTGGGGCTTCAGATAACAGGGGCAGTCTTTTGACTGGAAAGTCCCAAGATTGGAAGGTTTAAATTTCTGTTTCCCGCCAGTGTAGTAACAGTCACCGATGTAGTGGTGGGAAGGTCAGCCATCTTAAGAAGGTCTGCCATTCTGTGGCGTCTCTGCCCCACCTCTCAGCCGGCCCAACAGGATCCTGGGCCTCTCTCTCTCTCTTTCTGCCACCCCTCCCCCAGCTCGCAGTCTCTCTTTCTAAAAAATAAATAACCATTAAAAAACCCTCAGAGCTGGAAAAAGGAAACTGCCAAGACAACATGTGCTAAATAAAATCAAGATAAGGAAGAGCTGAGTCATTCATTGTGATTTTACTCCCTGATGTTAAACATGGCTTTGTCCCTGTCTCCTCTCACTGATTGATTCTGTAATGTCTCACCCCCCGACCCATACCCCTGGCCCAACCAGTCTCAGTTCTGGTGACACTTAGAAATGTGGAGATTATAAATACACATAGATGAGGAAAAAAATTGTGTACAGGTCTGTGCCCAATTATCTTTCCAAGAAATTATGTTTAATTGGAATTTACCAAGATATGTAGGCTTCACTAATGACTGGTTTACAAACTTACTCTATATTATTCTCTTTCCAGATTTGACATTCTGGGTACAATGAAAAGGAAACTGAGAACAGATATTCATTACCCGCTCACAAACCTGGACCTCACTCCTTATATTTGTCCAGTTTTTCGGAAACACCCTAAATATAACCTCTGTGCGGTAGTGGTGAGTAAAATGCTGAAATTATTTAAAAATAACATACTTTTAAACAAAACTGTAGAATTATCCACTTAAATGCCTACTCTTTTTCATTTTTTTAAACATTTGTTATTGAGAGAGAGAGAGAGAGAGAGAGAGAGAGTGAAAGAGTGAGTGGGGGTGGGAGGGATGGGCAGAGAGAGAGGGAGACGCAGAATCCGAAGTAGGCTCCAGGCTCTGAGCTGTCAGCACAGAGCCTGAGGTGGGACTCAAACTCCCAAATGGTGAGATGATGGCTTAACCGACTGAGCCACCCAGGTACCCCTTGAATGCCTCCTCTTATCTTTCCCTCACTTCTAATATTCTTCTTTCTAAATCAAAGTATAGAGCCTGGACTTAGAACTGTAGAATAACTAAAGAATAAAATGTCCTGTCCACTGCCTGCTTGCTTTCCCTTCACTCATGGGCTATTTCAAATCTGGGGGCATTCTCAGCTTGGGCTGTGGGAGCAGCAGAAGTTAGTTTCAGTAGCTTTGTGTTGGATATTCATGAGCCGCTGTATAGCCAAAGCTCCCAGACAATTGGTACAGGATAGTCACATAGTCACTGCCTGTGCCATCTGGTCCTCGGGGAAACTCTAGGGGTTCCCTTTGGCTCTAAGTCAGCTGTCACTGAGGATTCCCTGCGGGAAGAGAAGCATGGAGTATAATTCAGACCAAATCATCCAGAGCTTCCCACAACGTCAGCCATCCCCACGCACCAAGCCATTGTCTGGGTTTCTCATCTGGATCACGGTGTTAACAGTTTTTAGTATACACTCTGATTTTACCTTGAACCTGGAGCAGGCTCCAGCCTCTGGGTCCAGAGCACATGAAAGAGCTCCCAGCAGAGCCCATTATGCTTCCCCAGGTTCCTTTGATACACAGACGTCTAATTTGCCTATTTAGCTTGTTGCATTAATACATTATAAAATGTCAGTCTCACTTTTTAACCTGTTTAACATCTCAGAACCAAACCTATGAACTTTAAAAAAAAATGATCCTTCTTTTCTTAAAAGTTTTCAATATTTATTTATTTTCTGAGGCGGGGGGGGGAAGGGGCAGAGAGAGAGGGAGACACAGAATCCGAAGTAGGCTCTAGGCTCCGAGCTGTCGGCACAGAGCCCAAAGCGGGGCTTGAACTCACAAACTGCAAGATCATGACCTGACCCAAAGTCAGATGCTTAACTGACTGAGCCACCCAGGCACCCCTCAAGTATACATTATTAATTTTTCTCCACTACTATTAACTTGGTTACAGTGCTTACAAGGTAGACTAATATAATATTAATATTGCAATATAATAATTTTGAATTCTATGAGCAAATATTTATTGCATGGTACAGAACCCCCCTTTCCTTGCTTCCACTGCAAGTGTCCACTATGTTTCTTAATTAAAAAATTTTAATAATGTTATAGTATAGAAAATATTTTTATTATTATTATTATTATTTTTTTTACAAATAGTTTATTGTCAAATTAGTTTCCACATAACACCCAGTGCTCATCCCCACAAGTGCCCTCCTCCGTGCCCATCCCCTCCTCCCCCCCACATCCATCAGTCCTCAGTTTTTGTCAGCATTCAAGAGTCTCTCATGGTTTGCCTCTCTCCCTTTCCCCCACCATTTCCGCCCTTCTTCTCCCCCTTGTTCCTCCGTCAGGTTCCTCCTAATCCTCCTATACGTGCAAACATATGATATTTGTCCTTCTCTGCCTGACTTATTTCGCTCAGCATAACACCCTCAAGGTCCATCCACGTTGCTACACATGGCCAGATTTCATTGTTTCTCATTGCCATGTAGTATTCCATGGTATAGATAAACCACATCTTCTTGATCCATTCATCTGTTGATGGACACTTAGGCTCTTTCCATGTTTTAGCTATTGTGGAGAGTGCTGCTATGAACATTGGGGTACATGTGCTCCTATGCCTCAGCATTTCTGTATCCCTTGGGTAAATTCCTAGCAGTGCTATTGCTGGGTCATAAGGGAGTTCTATTGTTAGTTTCCTGAGGAACCTCCACACTGTTTTCCAGAGGGGCTGTACCAGTTTACATTCCCACCAACAGTGTAGGAGGGTGCCCGTTTCTCCACATCCTCGCCAGCATCTAGAGTTCTCTGATTTGCTCATTTTAGCCACTCTGACTGGCGTGAGGTGGTATCTCAGTGTGGTTTTGATTTGTATTTCCCTGATGAGGAGGGATGCTGAGCATCGTTTCATGTGTCTGTTGGCCATCTGGATGTCCTCTTTGGAGAAGTGTCTGTTCATGTCTTCTGCCCATTTCTTCACTGGGTTGTTTGTTTTTCGGGCGTGTAGTTTGGTGAGTTCCTTATAGATTCTGGATATTAACCCTTTATCTGATATGTCATTTGCAACTATCTTTTCCCATTCCGTTGGTTGCCTATTAATTTTCTGGGTTGTTTCCTTGGCTGTGCAGAAGCTTTTAATCTTGATGAGGTCCCAACAGTTTATTTTTGCTCTTGATTCCCTTGCTTTTGGGGATGTGTCAAGTAAGAAGTTGCTGCGGTGGAGGTCAAGGAGGTTGTTTCCTGCTTTCTCCTCTAGGGTGTTGATAGTTTCCTGTCTCACGTTCAGGTCCTTTATCCATTTTGAGTTGATTTTTGTGCATGGTGTGAGAAAATGATCTAGTTTCATTCTTCTGCATGTTGCTGTCCAGTTCTCCCAACACCATC